TTGTCATGAACCGGCTTATTTCCGATCTAACCGATTCTATCACGCACTTAAGGCCATTAGCGTGCATTCTTTTTTTTGTATAGGAAACAATTAGTCACGCAACACATCGACAGTTCCGAACGGCAGTATGAAAATACATTATGAATCAAGAAAACATTCCTGAGAACAATACGTCACGAGCACTCTTGTGTCGCGATCGCTTTGTTTGCTGCAAGTTGCTGCGCGCAGTTCTAGAAATGAGCGTGTCACCAACCAGTTTGCCCAAATGTGACGATGTGCACACGCGCACGTGGTGATGGGCGCCATGTCGCCTGTCGCGGCCACCGCCAGAGGGCAGGTTGGCAGATGCTCCTACCCCGTGCACAGCACGGTAAATAATGCACGATGTTTGGTGATGCTGCGTTGGCAGTGGTCGCCTCCATTATGCACTATGAAGAAGGAACGTTGCCCGAAACGTCACCAATTATATTTTTTATTGGCAAACGTGTCGCGTTTTTTTTTGTAAATAAAATAATGCTGAGCAATCACAACATCCTGTGCATCAAGGATTATCAATGACCTCCATGTTTACACAGGAAAGCCTGATCAGCACTAGAGTCCTGCTCGGAAACATTTGACCGATGATTTTGAGTCCTGTGTTTGTGTATTTAGTTTAACATTTGAAAGTTACTTATTGCTTACGTGGCCCTTTTAGGAAACCGGCGATTGCCTCTTTGCGATCGCCCGAGCACGCCTGTCCACCATGTATGCGTGCGCTTATGTCCGCGTGTATTGATGCATTAATGATCGTGAACCCAAAAAGGCTTGCCGTTCCTCCTCTTTGATGCACATCCGATTAGCACGATCGGCTACGTAAGAAGTTCAACATACATGCGATGCATACGTTTTTTTTTGGGTTCCATCGCGAAAATATAAATGCGTCGTTAAACCCGCCACCACGTTTCCCTGTAATGACCAGTGACACTTCGTACTCGAATGGTAAATGTTGTGGGTTTACTCTCAGAAACACCGGTGTCCTGAAGTCGTAACTAATTGACACGCTTTGGTTACGTGACAAACTTTACTAATTGGCTGTATCGGGTCGTGGCGGGTTTAACGACACATTTATATTTACGCGATCTCACCCAAAGAAGACCTTTATTATGGATATTTGTCGCGAAAGCCTACAACTACCACGTGTTAAACGGACGCATACGATGCATTGTGAGACACGTGCTTCACATCGCCTTCCCGTTACCCGAACTCCCCCCTGAGTATTTCCCAAATCTCCACCATGCGGCCCGTGGGACCGTGAGATCTCTCCCTCTCTCTCCACGGACCACGATCATCACGGTCCCAACCATCCTGCCAACTCACAGCTCCGCCCAGGAGCGCGGGTTGACAGCGCTGTCCTCTGTGCCTGTGAGTGGTCCCTGTGAGCGCTGTCAAAACATCTCTCGCACCAATTGTCAGAATGCCTCTCGTGGTGTTAATGGTTCGCACGCCGTGACGTCTTGAAATCCACTGGTCGCCGGTTCGATTCGAGTCCCTCGTGCGGGTGCGAGGCTGCCAAGTGACATGCTCTCATATGACACCAATTTGATGACAATTGGTTATGAAAAGCCATCATACAGTAAATCATAGGAAGGAACTACGCGTTATTTACATGTCATTGTCATCACTGCCCTCTGCATCGTCTTGCTGATGAAGCTTTCAACACGTGGAGCGTAACGTCAGACATTATGCTGAACAACACCCGGTACGATGTGAACGCACATCGGGAGAGCGATGCATGCATTGTATCTATGATTGTTGTTATTCGTAGTAGTATTGCACTTGTTTAGCCAGCAAAGGCTCACTGAGTCTCAATAATAATTTTCAGGAGGGGTCTGTCAAGTTTTCACAGTCAGGAGTGATGCTGCTGTTTTTAATCCCAATTGAGTAATTTGCAGGTATTCGTTTAAGTATTGGGATATTTGACATAGTTACGTTGTATGTGTTTATTTATTTATTTAGCTATGGGAGGAAACCGGAGAACGCATAGGGAACCCATGCAGAACAGAGGAAGGACAAACTCCACACACCAAGGCGTCTGAGTCAGGCATCGAACCCAGGAACTTCTTGCTACGAGCCACCTGCGCTGCCTTTATTTTGCCGACAGTGCACTGCATTTACAAATCATTGTCACCAATGCCCTCTTCATCTCGTCGCAAGCATTGCCACTACCACTCATGGTATTTTCTTTAAGAGGCGAACGTCTGGTACGCAGGAGTCCGGGAGTTCGATCCCGATCCCGACCCTGAGGCCTGCTGCTGTATATTTGGAGTTTGCGCTGTCTCTCTCCCCAGTGGTAGCGTGGATTTTTTCTCCGGGTCCTCCGGGTTTTCCCACCACATTTAGAAACGTGCGTTGAGATTATTTCGATTATTTTGCTGCTCTAAATTTACACTTGATAAGCCACTTTGTTAAGCTATCATTTGTGGCCAAGTCGCTTCTGAGAAATAAGTTAATAGCGCAGTGACCCTTACCTGGTAAGATACAAATAGGTTGGTTTTATTTGTATATATTTAAAGCGTCTTGTTTACCTTTCCTATTCTTTTCACTATTATCGCGTGTGTGTATTGTTTGTTCTAGCCTTCTGACCCGTCCCTACTGAACATGTGTGAAAGAGAGCTTTATAGCTCATCGGATTCCTCCTGCAGTATAAATAAATAAATACACATTTCCGATTCTGAGATGTGCACGCGGTCGACCCCTGGTGGCGAGGGGCGCACGGTGCCTCCTCGGCCGCGGGGATTGCAATCCTGTGATTTACACTGAGACATCTCCTTTACCAACGGCAAAATATAGTGATAGGGGTTTACCCTTTCAACTGGTACTAAAACGGACACCTTTATACAAGGGATCATGATTGCAATAACCACAACACAAGCAGTCAAAATGCAAACAAAAAGAAACAACTCTGAAAATGATAATGATATGCACTGTCCTTGTGCATATCATTATCAGAGTTGTTTCTTTTTGCTTGCATTTTGACTGCTTGTGTTGTGGTTATTGCAAACATGATCCCTTGTATAAAGGTGTCAGTTTTAGTACCAGTTGAAAGGGTAAAAACCTATTACTAACTTCTGTGATTCATCTGCGGGGTATGGCAGCGACGATGCGTCCATGAGCTACATGCAAATGTCAGGGTCTGCCGGCCACGACGAGAGGACTTCAGGAGAGAGTCGGGTAGTCTGGCTGTCATTACTCATCTGTTGAAGGAGCCCAGACTACGGTTAGTTTAATATGTAAGGTCAAATGTTTGGGTTGCGCTGTCGCACTGCAGCTTGTGTGTGTGTCTATATGGGTATCTGTGTGTTCCTGTGGGTTTCTACGTATCTCTTAATATATCTGTGTGTCTCTATGGTTGTGCTATATGGTTCGTAGCTTTGGTTGCGTGGCCAGTGTCTTCGAAGAGCAATGAGGTGTGAGATGTCTGCCCGGTGTTGCCGAGTCAGCAATTCAAATGCGGCTGCGGTGTGGACCTCGGGCTCGGCACGGCGTGCGGTTTGCATCCATCGCTGAGAATCGGTCGACATGATTCGACCTATGAGCTCCAAATGTTGATGCTAACGACCCTGGTGTTTCGCACATTCATTATCCTTGGGCTCTCCCGGCAATGTCAACGTGTAACTGACAGCGCAGCAGCAGCAGCAGCCTGTCACCCCCTGCCGTGCTCAGTATGCAGAGGCGACATCCCTCGAATTCTGAGCTCTGCCCTTGAGAATCAAGTCAGCTGCGGTTCCAATTTCTCCAACACCTCCGATTAGCACGGCTGGCTATGTACGATGCGAAAAAAGTTCAACACGCATACATTTGGGTTCCTCCAATGTATATCGACGCGTATACATTTTTTATTACGTGGAGGTACAGCAATGTGACGACGTATTGTACGCTTATTTATTGAGGGGTATAAAGAGGGGACACCATCGTTACTACACCTCGGCGATTGTCATCACGGTCCCGATTCGAAGCAAGAATCTACGATGACCACGCGGTGAATGGCAGCGCCTCTAGCACACGGCAGGACTGTGTAGACTGTGTAGACTGGAGAGGAATCTAGATACATTCTGCACGCTACGCACCGGATTACCGATGCCAGTACTTGCTGTGAGCCAGAAAAAGTCGATACGGTATTTGTCAATTAATCGAATCATCCTTCCACCCCTTGAGACTTGGGGCGGTGACAGGCCCGCTCGTTGCAGAAGTCTGTGGTGTGATTCCAGCCGCCGCCCTGGTTAATACTGCGGTGGGTATTTGCCATTCAAATACGGGCCACGGTGGACATTAAAGATCCCGTGATGTCACTGGCAAGAGCACGCCATCGCGGTGTGTGCCAGCGTCATGGTACACATTTGGCAAATTGAAAAAAAATATACAAATGTACTCCGTTGGAATCTACGTATTATATGTATGTTGAACATCTTTCGCACCGTGCGTAAAAAAGCCCCTCGTGTGAACACACGGAAGACGCCTGGGCATCCCTGCATCGAAAGAGCTTTAGCTGTGCCGCTGCTGGGTCGGTGAGTGGTGCAGTGGCACACTCAACAAAGACTCGACACACTCGTCAACGACGTTGTGGGGGGGGGCAGTGGTTTCGTCTTTATAGACCGAATGGCCATTGCCCGAAACGTCGTCAATAACGAACGCCTTGACACCGACAGCACGTGCTGGGCGGGGTGGGGGGGGATGGGGCGGGGCGCGGGGAGGAGGGGGGGGGTGGAGGGTGGAGACGTTGGGGGACGGGGCGTGCGAAAGGGGCGTGGCCCGGGACGTAACGCGTGGGGGAGGGTGAGGGGAGTGTTGGAGGATGGGGTGGGGCTCGTGACGTAACACGTGGGGGGAGGGGGGGGAGTGTTGGAGGATGGGGTGGGGCTCGTGACGTCACGCGTAGCGATGGGGGCAGGGGGGTGTGTGAAAGGCTGTGGGGGGGGGCTGCGTGGGAGCGGGGCGCTCTCGCTGCCGTTGCTGCTCTCGCGAGAGTTGGCGGCGCGGCTCTCGCTATCTTTGTTCGCGGCGCTCGAGCGGCAGCAGGAGGAGGAGGAGCGGCACGAGGAGGAGGAGGCGGCGGCTCGGGCTGTGAGCAGCGGCGGCGCTCACGGAGTAAAAAAAACCACCCGCCCGCACGGTGGTTTTTTTTACTCCGCGCGACAATGCGAGCGGGGCGGCCGTGCGGCCCACGGGCAGGCGGCGCGGGGCCGTTCTCACGGCGTTCTCACGCCGCCTAAACACCCCCCACCACCACCACCACCCCCAGTGCCCTCCCTCCCGTGCGTGCCGGGCTACAGCTGCTGCTGCCGCCGCCTCCCCGGGGTGGAGGTGGCTGCGTGGGTGTTGGGGCGACCGACCGAGCGGGCGGGTGGGTGGGTGGTGTTGTTGTTGTTGTTGGCTGCTTGTGTCGTCGTCTGACCGGGTAAGGTCCCCGCTTGCGCGCGGCGACGTGGGTCGCTGGGTTGACGACCGCGATCGTCCATCGGCGCTGTGCGTCGGCTGCTCGTGTGGCTGTGTGGGAGCTGACGATGCGACCGGGCGCCCTTCGGAATCGACGACGGTAGCAAGAGGAGCGGCGTCGTCGGCAGCAGCAGCAGCAGTGGCCCCGGGCCCCGCGGGGGGCGGGGGGGGCCTCCCCGCCGTGGCCTCGCACCGTGGCCGCGCCGCGCCGGCCTCCACGGCCGCCGGGGAGCCGCCCCGTGGCCGGGCCCCGCCGGGGGGTTGTCCCATGGCCGCCTCCTCCTCCTCCTCCCCCCCCCGGGCCGCCGTGCTGCAGTCGTCGGTGCAGAGGCTCGTGGCTCTGGAGCAGCGAGCCCGGCGCCTCGCCCAGCGCCTGCGCCTCGCCCAGGCGGAGGCGACCGAGAGCCACGCGCGGCAGCAGCTGCGCGACCTCCTGGCCGAGCAGCAGCAGCAGCCTCCATCATCACCACCACCACCTCCTCCACTACCTCCTCCTCCTGTACAGCAGCAGCTACAGCTACAGCTACAGCAGCAGCGGCCGCCCCGAGCCGTGGACGCGGCGGCCGCGATGGCCCCGCGTGGTGTGGCCGGGGAGCTGGGCCGCGTGCCCAGGAGCCTGGCGGCCGCGCTGCGGCACGTGGAGAGGGCGCTGGACTCGGACGCCACGGAGAGCAGCTCGGGTGGCGACACGGACACCGAGGAGGTGGACAACGACGAGAGCGACGTCTGTTGCGACGACGACCACCACCACCAGGGTAGCCGCAGCGGCGGTGGTGGTGGTGGTGGCGCCTGGGTTGGCGACCTCGGCGTGGGGGCGTGGATGGGCCGGGCCCACCACCACCAACACCATCACCAACACCACCACGATCAACAACAACAGCAACAGCAGCAGCAGCCCGAACAGCCTCGCTCGGCCTTGTGAGTACCCGTGTCTCTTGTGCGTCACCATGTGTGTGCATGCGTGTGTGTGGGAGAGTGAATGTGTCTCTGTGTGTGAGTGTCTCTGTGGCTGTCACAGGAGCGTCTCTCTTTGTGCCAATGTGTGTGTCTGTGTGACGGTGTCTCTGTGCATGTCCCTCTGTGTATCGGTGTGTCTGTGACATTGTCTCTGTGCATGTCCCTGTGTGTATGTGTGTGTCAGTGTGTCTCTCTGTGCATGTCCCTGTGTGTCAGTGTGTGTCTGTGTGCATGTCCCTGTATGTCAGTGTGTGTCTGTGTGCATGTCCCTGTGTGTCAGTGTGTGTCTCTGTGCATGTCCCTATGTGTCAGTGTGTGTCTGTGTGACATTGTCTCTCTCCATGCCCCTATATGTCTGCCTCTGCGACACCGCATCGCCTTGATGGTTGCCCGTCTGCTCGGGAAACGAACTGCAGAGCATTGTTGTATCATTGATTGAATCCCATTGTTGCTCGGAGGAGCTTCAACCCTCGCAGTGGTGGACCTTTATGGGACCTGTTGACCAGCGTGCCTCTGGATGGGATCGGGCCAGAGTTTGTATCGCAAGAATCACTCCCAAAGCCTGGAAACGAGCGATGGGCATGGCTAGCTCGGTCTCTGAAGCCCATTCTGTAGAGGAGGACTCCTCGGACTTGCCGCAAATGTGGCACGATTTAATTTAAACATTCCACCCATAAACCCCCCAAAATGACACCCTGGTATTGCAACTCTTTGGACAGGGGCATGCTTTCCATAAGCGTATCCCCCCCCCTATCTGTCGCTGCTGTCACTGGTTTATATGCAGTAGTTGACAGCCACTTGCATGTTAATCGCATGCTAGTAGTAGTGTGTGGAGTGTCAGACCCCCACACACACTGCGACTGATTTCGTTTGTATTTGTTGCCTCCTTGTTGGGGGAATGGTTCTCGCAGTGGGTGTGGGGATTTGGCCCAGTGCGATGCACAACGCGATACTGTAATCCCATGTTTGTCTGATGTGTGTGTGTGTGTGCGCATGAGGCCATACACCACTCATTAAAACCATTTAGCTTTTAAAAACACACGTGTAGTTGTTGCCCACTGATTTAACCTGGGTGTCAAGTCTTTGAAAAAATACATTTTATGCACATACCACAAGCTTTTATGTGTGCTTGGGAGGAGAGACACCAGATGTGATGACTACTGTTTGGATTTAAATTTAGGGTGTATTCATTTCAGCAGGAAGGGGCCGATGAGCTGTTTATTTCATATGTTACACGGTACAGATGTTAGTTGTGTTCATGAATCATTTGTGTCGGTGTGTTCAGTGACAGTCACTGTACATTGCTGTGTGCCAAGTGTGTGTGTCTGTGACAGTGTGTCTGTGACAGTGTGTATGTGACAGTGTGTATGTGACAGTGTGTGTAGGTTATCACGGTATATGTTTATTCTGTTTAACCAGGTGAGTGTCACCCATTGTGTTTGTTGTGCTGCTGGAGTTATGTTTTTGTTGTTACCAAAACAGTTGGTGGAGTACAAAGTGCAGGCCTCCCCCATGGGCTTACAATTGGTCATCCGCACCCCAGAGTCTGAATGAGCATACGCAATGTTGCAGGTTTTTTAGCCAGGCCCTGTTGTCATTGTGGGTTTGGACATATTTAGGTGCTGTGACAGGACACCACCGGGGCTTTAAGATGGATGCAAGAGGGGGTAGGATGTGTGGAGTAAGCAGAAGGCTTTGTACGTGTGGGTAGTGTAACGTGTATAGTAGGGGAGGTTGTGAGAATGAGATCAATTTCTTTGTGTTGGCTTGGGGTGTTTTTTTACGTGCTATATAAAACACTTTAGAAGAGGAGAGAAGTCAACAATGGTTGAACTAGGACTGGTTGTTTTAGGCAGGGGAAATGCGTGTTATACCATTCGCGTGAGAAAGTTGGACTTTAACAAAATAACTAATCGTCTGGCTTACGAATGCAGATGCGCGCAGAGAATGCCAGGCATTTCATATCAGGATCGGATAAGTTTAGAGTATATTGTGGCAAGAGGGGGGGGAGGAGGAGTTGTGTATGTATGAGGAGGAAGAGGAGGGTTGGGATGGGTGGGGCACGTGTACAGGCTGGAGGGCACATGACTGAGAGGTGGTCATTGGGGTGCCACCAAAGGGAAGACCTTAAAAGCCTGACACGAAAGCTTGATGCTCAAAGAAAAGACGTTTGAGGTCGGATGTTAACTGTGCGATAGTTGCAGATTTTAGCAAATGGGAGGAAGTGATGGTGCATTTTGGTGACACGAGTGACGTTGGCTATGATGACCCGATGACCTTGATGTTTGTGTATTATTGCAGAAAACCCCCCACAAATTAGTATTTTCCGTTCGGCACGCTTGTTGATGTTAGAGGTTGAAGTCACGAAAATGTAATAAATATAGCCACTTTAATGGACATTCACACCACATGTGTACAAATTACACAGTTCATGGGAGCTCACGGGGAAATTAGGTTTACGAGTATATTTGTTTTGTTCAAGGTAGCTCACGATTGTAGAGAAACACGCGGTGATTGTGTTTTTCCTCTAAAACGTCTCCAAACATCCACTGTTAGAGCACTCGACTCGCCGCACCTCCGAGGTCTTGCATCTGAGCGCTTGGGGGGGGGGGGGCCCACAGAGGTCCTTGTGTTGTCGAGTGTCAAACTCAGAAGTGACTCACTGATCAAAGGCACAATGGAAGGAGCGTGACCACCCGAAGCCAGTGGAGCAAATTCCACATTCCCGTGGTGTGAGGCCGAGTTGGTTTATCGGATGGCCACTGTTGAATTACCACAACATGACACCTATTTTATCGACCCCAGACTGATGGTGGACTTGGTTTACCGCTGACTGGAGTTGGAATGCACAACATTTCAAAGAGCACAGTGCCACCCATGTTCATGTGGTCCATGCGCCCAGACCAGATGTACCACTTTTCGTTACCACCTGAGGTGACGTCAAATTCGTTACACTTTCTTGGTGTGCCAATTGTGTGATCATCTGAAATGAATGGGTTCTAACTTAATTAATTCGTATTCGTCAAGTACATAATGGTTCAGTGGTCTTTTACCTGCTAAGATAAACATAGTTTATTTGAATTTGTATATATTTTAAAGTAATTTGTTTATCTTTCCTATACTTTTCACCCCTATCGTTGTATCGTTTTAACCCATCCCCTACTGGACATGTGAAAAAACTGCTTGCTAGCTCATCGGATTCCTCCAATATATATTTAGACGATTCTGAAATAAAGTATTTACTCCCCGAAAGTGGTTCTGAGTTCATAGTCCAGCCAATGGGACTAATATTCGTGGCTGGTTTGGACCGCATCGTGGCAGCGCACCCGTGAGGTCCTGGGCTCGCTCAAGCTTTGAGTTCTGGGTGTTTCCCTGAATCTCACGGGAAATTGTTCCAGCACCTTCTGAGGAGAGAGAGAGAGCGACCACTGCCACATTTGTGATTGCACAACACCACGGCGGTTGCATAAGCAGCACATGTTATTGTGTGGTGTCGTCGTTACTCTGTTGAAAAAAATCTCCAATTAAAAAAAACTGTTCAAAACGAAATTCTAGACGTTATTTGTATTTTGTAATGCAATATTTCTTGAGCTGTGTGTTTTTAAATGTGTACCGGCCGCAGTGTTTGATGTTTCGAGTGCTTGTTGTTAACGGGGCCTATGGGCAGGGTAGTTAGTGGAGCTCAGAGCTGACTGTGATGGAGGCTGCTGTGTCCTGTGAAGGACAGACTGCTGTTTCAGTACTCCGTTTCATGACCCTGTTGATACACGCCGCTTTAATGGAGACCACTTTGCATAAAAAATACCTTTGGTGATGTTTGGACAAGCTGCAGGAAGTGTTAAAACGTCCTTTTAATTGTCGAAGTGAACATGAATTGACGCGTATTTTCCACGTCAAGTGGTGTGTATTTATCTATTTGATAACAATAATTCTCTGTCAATTCAAAGTTTTGGTGTACAGTATTTCCCCATCTCGAGTGGGAGTGTACCGTGAGAGGAGCATTGCACCGTTTTGGTACTTTCACCTCTCGTGCTCTGCACTTTGTACTTGGCCGCGAGGGTGGAAGGGTGTTTTTGCACGTGATTGGCTCGGTGGGTCAATACAACTTGATATGTATGTAATCCTCACCATTCTTGGTCAAGGAGCAGTTGAGAAATAGTAGGTGCAGTGTTTGCTGACGGTTTGCCATAACTGGCACGACTGCTGATTGAGAAGTTTATTGCCACTGCTGCCAGTCTTCGTGAAGCCATTTTTGTGCACCACACAGGTACCGGGAGTCCACGTGACCTGTCGTGGAGCAATACGAATTCTGTATAAAATCCTGCGCCATAAATAGTGTTTTGGCAGTTCATTGCTATTGCCCTATGATGGTCATGGTGCGTTTAAGAGGTGATGTTCCATAAATACTATTTGCTTGTTTTTGTGGTATACATTCCTGTTGAGCCGCGTGTCCATTGTGTGATCTTTGCTTGATCAGACTACCCCATGGAGTATCCTTACCTCGCTTCAAAGTATACAGTAATTCGCATTGCTATGCGGATTTTCATTTTCAGTTCCAAATGTGTTACAACACTCATGATAATCAGCCCGTGCAGCTTTTTCCTGTGTTTTCATTATGCTGGCGTGTGGCCGTAGTTTGAGTTCCAGTTCTGTATTGGATAGATCGTCTGTGGATGAGTTTCATATTTTGCCAGTGTTCTTGTTTAATTTCGTTGGTTTTTGCTTCTGAGGATGGGTGATGCTGGTAAAATGGTCTTGTGTGTGAAGTGTGAATTTGAATTCCGTCCACATAATAGTGAGTCCTCCCACCATGTTTCTGTGCAAGTCTTCTTCCGCCCCTCACTGTTCGCACCTGCTGAGCGAGTATGTGGGTGTTACTCTCCCGCTGTAGTGTTTAGCGTTCCTTGAAAAAAATCACAAGTCGCTCGGTTCATTTGGCAAATTTCTGACAAACATGCAAG